ATCTATCTATCTATCTATCTATCTATCTATCTATCTATCTATCTATCCATCCATCCATCCATCCATCCATCCATCCATCCATCAAGGGCCACGGTGGCTCACGTAGTAAGACGCTGGGCCTGGGCAACGCTGAGGTGACAGCTCGGTGGCTCAATTCCTGTGAGCAAATAAACCATGGAGGGACAAGAAAGGAGCCTTCCCCAACTGCCTACCAGCATTCAGGCGTCCTGTGGGTAAAGATAACACCGCCCGAAAAAATCCTTTCACAGAGGCAGCCAGCCACCTCGGTGATCCCTGGCTAACACATGCCATACGCTAAATATCTGTCTGTCTGTCTGTCTATCTACCTACCTACCTATCCATCCTTCTCCAGTCTATCCTTATCCATCCATCCATCCATTCATCCATCCATCCATCCATCTGCCACCCAGAGTCATTTTTCTATGAGATGAGTGACAAATAAATACATAAATTCTTCCGCAGAGAAGTTTAACAACACTTCACTTGTGGCATGCTTAAATAGCTTCTTATAATTCCAAGACAATTAGGAAAACTTCATGTTTTCATTAATACATTTATTACTTTTCTCCCAATCATTTACACCTATATAGCAACACAACAAACACTGGTATTCCAATAACATAAAAACAACAGGATAAAAGGCTGATTGACAGGAAAGAGACTCACCAGAATCACATTCTAGGAGAGCGCTTTGGAAAGAAAGGTGTTTTTAGAAGTAGCTTTAATAGAATCACTAGTTCTTTCCCAAATAATTGAAGGTGTTTTTTTTTAAAAAAAAAAAAAGACACAAAGGCTCCATTTTCCAAGAGAAAAATGCAACTAAGCATTTTATTAATTTGCCTTTGAACTAACCCAACTGCCCTGAAATAAATCACTAATGAGAAAAGCTACCATTCCCTGTTTCAAACATTTAAGTGAACCTGCAGTTTAGCCTATGCATGTGCAGGTATCATGCTAAAGCTACGAGAGGAATCTCAGGGATTTTCCGAGCAAGAAATTTTCACAGGTAATAGTATAAATACAGTATGTTTTAGTGCTGATACAGTATTTGGCAAGCCTGTGAAAACTGCCCCGGAGTTCACAGCTCCCTCCAGATTGGATATTTCCATGGCTCAAGACACAATTCAACACACGAGCCACACATGGCCAGAAAAAGCAGCAGCTGTTTTAAGGAGTTGCTGTGAAGGTGTGACATGAATGCCCATCTGTTCCAAAGCACGTTTGGCCTTCAAATCCTAAAAGGGATGAGGGATTATGGGGGACTCTTAATTTGGAGTGCAGGAAGTCCCTTTGTAACTTCAAATGGTCACTAAACAAACTAGTGACCATTTGAAGTTAAAGGGACTAAAAAGGGGGATTTATGACTGCATTTCATGCTTACAACGGTTGCAGCTTCCCGATGGTCATGGAATTGAGATTCAGATGCTTGGCAACTGCCTCACATTTATGACGGTTGTAATGTCCCAGAGGTACATGATCTCCTTTTGTGACCTCCTGACAAAGTCAATGGAGAAGCCCAATTCACTTAACAAACTTCTTGGTAACTTAACAACTGCAGTGATTCCCTTAACTGTGGCAAGGAAGGTCGTAAAATGGGGCAAAATTCATTTAACAACTATCTCACTTGGCAAGAGAAATTTGGGCCTTAGTTGTGGTCTCAAGTCAAGGACTACCTGTATTGTTTGGCTATGTGGGAAACCTTAAATATTCCCAAATCAACTCGCTGTTCTCTTCCATGAGGCTAAAGGGAAACAAGGAAGTTAGAAGAACAGGAATCAGTAAGCTGAAGATGGCAAGGAACGTATTTAGTTTTGCAAATAATTACATTGTTTGGCGCTCCTTAAGACTTTCTGTTCTATCCTTCCGGGTGAGGAGAACATCTCTCCGTTCAAGAGCAGGAGGTGGCAGAATAAAAATAAAGTAAACTTGGCAGAAGAACATTTGTTTTTCTATCCTCAAAGCTGTGCGATTTTGTATCTGCTCCAATCTTCCTTCCTTTCTAATTCCCCTCTTTGCTCAGACTATTTAGATTCCCAAGGGCTGGTTTTGGAATGCGGATCTCTGCCATGCTGTCTGCCTGAAGTGAAAAATATTGTCTCAAACAGCTTACTTTGTTGCTTTAAAAATAAAACTCCAAACTTTTGACATCTCTTATTGATTATTCCAAGGTTTCACTCGTAAGGTAGCACCCTGGGCTCCAAAACGCCTGGTAGCCCTGGTTAAAGAGAAACTACTGTAGTCATTCATTGAAACGCTGATTTCTGGAGAAATGAAATTTTTCCTGTCCTGCCCCATCCAGATTTCAGAGAAGGACTCCTCCATTCAAGAATTAGTACAAAGTTTCAAAGTATTTCTAGTAGGACTTCCAGATTCTGTATCAGTTTTGTTCCCTAGGCCATCCGTCTGGTAAATTCACAAGATTCGTTTTTCTTGCCGTGTACATGTAGACATCCGAACTAGATTGTGTTGTTTCTCTGTGTCATATAATATATGTAAGTATATGCATAATTTTGTTTTTATTTATATTTATTTATTTAGTCGTGTTTATGTGGTGTACATTGGAGGTGGTGATCCTTGGAGAGCTGTACGCAATGAAATTTCATTTTAATGGATGCCGATTAGTGTACATTCAAAGTGACAATAAAGTCATTCTAAATCTAAGTCTTAAGACTAACTTCTTACTGTTTGATCTAGGTCAGGGTCTCCAAACTTGGCAACTTTTAAGACTTAGGGATTTCCAACTCCCAGAATTCATCAGCTAGCCATGTTGGCTGGGGAATTCTGGGAGTTTAAAGTTCACAAGTCTTAAAGGTGCCAAATTTGGAAACCCCTAACCTAGGAGAACAGCCGTACACTTTGTACTTTGTACAAAGTACAGGGTGCTTGGATACCCTGGGAAGTCCAACAGAAGTGTATAAGGGGGAAATTTCAGGAAGGATCTGGCGGGTGGCTGAAGGGCTGGGTGCCTCCTTCACACCTCCTCCTGCAGTGCTACATATCCCAAACAGAGCACAGTCCCTAACGTGTCCATGTTCTTTTAGATTAAAAAAATACTTACCTTACCTCTACAAAAGTAACAACTTGTCTCAGAATGTAAATATCCTTAAGGCTCCTCGGTGTTCTCCAAGCTCGGCTGTTACCTTTCATTACCCAAACTAGGTAACATCCTCAGTGCTAGTAGGAGGCAGGGTTTCCGCTCACTTGTCATAAACTAGGCTTAAAAGTGCTAGGCGTTTCGTGAAAAGTTAGAGAGCAATTTTTTTTTTTAAAGAAAGAATCAATTATGGTCACTAAGTTAAGATCTAGAAAGGAAAGGAAAGCATCCACCAGATTGACTGTGTATTTATTGTATGTGGTACTCCACTGAATGGCGCCTTTAGGTTGGGACTGCTGTGGGAGACAAATGCAACACCTCCCAGGGAGAGGAAGTGAAAAGGCTGGGCGTTGAAGCCTGCCGCCACGTTTCAAAGCGCAGGGGACAGCACAAAACAACATCTTTGTCAAATGGGTTTCAGGCAATCTTGCTGCTGAAATAAAATAATTAGGAGGGGAACAGATTGTGCGTAGTCCCTGCTGTTTGTAATTAACATGTTTGTTCCCAATATGCCAGGGTATCAGGTAAAGCCTTCCCTGCCCAGATCCATCCAGACCAACCAGAGTGATTTCATCTTATCCCACGCTGGGTCAGCACCTGCTCTGGGCAAATCCAAGTGAGCCCAATGACTTTCCTTCCGGGATGGCTGAATGATGGGGTGCAACAATGGGGTTCGCCTCAGCCGCCGTCGCAGCGCCCATGCGGTCTTCACAAAAAGTCATATAAATACTTGGTGATGTCGAAGTTCACGGTCCTGTAAACATCAACATAATAGGTCAGTGTCATCAAATCTTTTCGCCCGCTCGCAAAAATGGCAAATAACAGAATAATGGAAGGGACCGCAGAGGTCCTCTAGTCCAACCCCCTGCTCAAGCAGGAGACCCTATATTATTTCAGACAAGTAGCTGTCCTGTCTCTTCTTAAAAGCCTTCAGTGATAGAGCAGTCACAACTTCTGAAGGCAAACCATCCACTGGTTAATTTTTCTCCCTGTCAGGAATTTCTCCTTAGTTCTAGGTTACTTCTCTCCTTGGTTAGTTTCCATCCATTGTTTCTTGCCTTGCCTTCTGGAGCTTTGGAAAATAGGTGGATCTTCTTTGTGGCAGGCTCTTAACTATTGGAATATTGCTATTATGTCCTTTTTTCCACTAGACTAGACATACCTAATTCCTGCAAGCCTTTTTCATATGCCTTCAGCCTTCTAATCATATTTGCTGCTCTTCTCTGCTGTTAGGAATAACATAGGTTACCTAACTTAGTTTGGGTAAAATAATATATATAGACTATAATAGTGTTTGTTACTTTAAATGCAAAGTATGTAAATTTTGGGTGCGGTTGTAAAACCACCATAAGAGGGAGCAAGAGAACCTTGCTAGCTTACTGATTGCTGGTTTACTGGTTTGCTTGCTGACGATGATGGATTGTTAACTGTGTTTTTTCTGCTACTGTTGCTGAAGGAAGAAAGGAGGTTTTTACTTCTTCTTATCTCATACTGCGAAGAGATAAATTACTGGACTGATATTAGTAAGTTTAATGACCTCTTTTTCGACACTGGACTTTGCAACTGATTAATCCCTGGACAGACTGAAATAGTGTATGATATATGGATTGTTTGACTATGCTATAAATCTTACTGGAATAAACTATTTAACTAGCACTGTGCATCTGTTTTACTGAGTGTAAACTACAACAACGTTTATCTCATATATTTGCCTGCCTGCCTGACTGCCGTGCAGGTTCTGCTAGGGTGTATATCCCTAACATCTGCACTCTTTCCAGAGTCTCAACATCTTTTTTAAAAACATGGTGACCAGAACCATATGCAGTATTCGAAGTATGCTCTTACTAAGGCTTTATAAAACGCTATTAGTACTTCAGGTGATCTTGATTTTAACATATAACATAGTGCTCCTGTGAATAATCTGAACTGAACGACTAAAAGTGTAATCAAACTAATTTTGATTGAGTTCTAAATATTAAAGATTGGAACATTCACACATTGACTTCTGGTAGACACCTCAATGAACTTGTGAAAGAATAGAATTAAATTAGAATTCGGATAGGATAGGATAGAATAGAATAGAATTCTTTATTGGCCAAGTGTGATTGGACACACAAGGAATTTGTCTTGGTGCATTAGATCTGTCTGTGCATTATTTCTAGATATGTTAATACTTCTTGAATTCAAGGGGCTGCTGTTGGTAGGAATGTCTTTTGTAAAAATTTTGACAGGGAAATAAAATGCATTTCCTTCTTGGGGAATGAGATCCATGCCCCAACTTTGAAATCCAGATTGATTTTCTCTTTTTCTTTCTCCGCTTGCCTTGTAGTCACAAGGAACATGTCTGGAAATATTGTATCACCAGAATAGGGAATACTGTGCAGGTAGTCGTTGGCTTACAACAGTTCATTTAATGACTGTTCAAAGTTACAATGGCATTGAAAAAAGTTACTTAGGACCGTTGTTCACAGTTATGACCGTAGCCATGATCATGTGATCAAAATTCAGAAGCTTAGCAGATGAATTTATACATTGTATAAAATATATGTACATTTTCTGTTTAAATGTTCATTTGTTTTCAATTGCAGGTTGACAAAGAAATTGGATGGAACTTAAATGCTGACAAAAATTAAACAGGTTGATTGTGTCTGTCCTTATAAAATAGTATTTCAGACATAGGATGCCTTCATCTACTATAAACAGTCATGTTTATAAGCGTTTTGACTGCTTGTAGTTTTCTTTTTCACTATGAATTTGAAAGTTTTTTCTTTTTTTATTTTCAAAACTGTATAGTCCCTTTTTGTAGAAAGTAATTCGGAAATTTTTCAGATAGGGCATAGTTTGACTTTGTCATTCGTCTTCTGTTTGAAAAGATGATAGGAATGCAAATCAGAGAAATGATGTGCCAAGTTTATTATTTTAGCTTACTGAGTGACAGATATGCTAATATGTATGTACAATTATGAGTGGAAGGGAGGGAGAGAAGGAAGGAGATGGAGGAAAGGAAGGAAGGACAGGAAGAGGGGGAGGGAGAGAGGGAGGGAAGGAAGGATGAAGGGAAAGCATTCCTGCTGATGTATAACTTATTCAGAAGCATATTGAGAATGAAACCTAGTTTTCTAGTTGCATAGGTTTTCAGATTCAAAAATTTACCCTCAATTTAAGCCAAATAATAATTTTAGCTCCAGATAAAAAGGAAAGATTTAAAAACAAAAAAAGCTAGTAAACACAGCTCACTGTTTGGAGATGCAAAACAGCAATCGTGTTTGCTATTGAACATTCTGGTCTTCTTCCAAACCACCTGTTCTAGCATTATGTACGGCATAACTCCTTTCATTGGCATCAATTTGCAATCTGCATTCTTCCATTCTTAGCAGCGGTTTAACCCCTGCCTTTTCACAAAATTTGAACCATCCAAGAATACTTCAAATGTTTTTTTTTGTGTTTTGTCAGAAAAAAAAGGATGCCTTTGAAAAGGTAACCCCCCCCCCATTTCTTCTAAAATTAATTTTGATCTTTAAGTATTAACATTCTCCATGCTGAGGTTTCCTTTCTCGATATTCAAAAATGAAGAAACCCAAGAATGAAAGGTTTTTTTAAAAAAGAAGTATATCATTGCAAAAAAAAAAAAAAATTGCAATGTTAAAGATGAAATGAATTGTCTCTGCTTTTCAAGGCAACCCATTCCATGTTTAAAAAATAATTCATGTCTGTGGAATTCTGCAAAATGGGAAAGCTTCTAATATGTTTCAACCTGAAGTGACAGTTTATTCGGTTAGGTCATGATTCATAAAATCTGAATGCCATAACATGGGCAAGATGTAAGGACTAGATTGAAGAGGTGTAACATTGTTTCCTTGACAAGCATTAGATTGTCACAATGCATTTTTTTGTAATCTAAAACATCTCACTGTCTATGAAAAAGATCAACTTTTCAGGATGTGGTAAGAATGGTAAAATATCGTCAGGCTACCAAACTCTCTGTTCATTAAAGCAGCCTCTTTTTTTCAAGCTTTCATATGAGCTTCAACTAAGTCCTCGACTTACAACAGTTCATTTAGTGACCATTCGAAGTTACAACGGTATTGAAAAATGTGACGTATGACCATTTTTCACTCTTATGGCCTCTGCAGCATCCCCGTGATCTAAATTCAGATGCTTGGCAACCGGTTCATACTTATGACTGTCGCTGTGTCCCAAGGTCATGTCTCCTTTTGTGACCTTCTGAGAAGCAAAGTCAATGGGGAAATCCAGATTCACTTAACTACTACTAACTTATCAGTTGCCTGTGATTCACACTTAACAACTTAACAACTGTGGCAAGAAAGGTACAGGGTCCAAAACTCACTTAATAAATATCCCACTGAATAAAAGGGATTGATTGCGGTTGTGAGTTGTTTTAAAGGGTCAATTCTTGAAGTGAATGCTTTTCATTTTAGTTCACAAGGAAGATTAAAAAAAGGGGGGGGCACGGCTAAAATGAATTGTTTTGTGTTTTTTAAAGTAACTACAGCACTATTTCTGAATCATTTTTGAAGTGTGCACAACTGCATTGTGCTTCATATAAAGATAGTTCTTAAGGAAAGATTTCACACACTAGCTGAAAATAAAACAACTTCTTAACTTGGGATTCTGAAAACGCTTATAGTGAACTTCAAAACTGTCGACTCGGGAAAAGAGAGATGAAATAAATCATGTTCTCCTGACTGCGAATGTTGCGATGCCTGATCAGAGAAAGCCCGATCAACTAAACATCAGCAAGATTGAAAGATTTGATTCACTGTTTTGCTCCCCTGAAAGGGAGCTCAAAGCAGCTACGAAAAAGCATGTTTTTAAAAACAACACAGTAGGGAAGAAAAAAAGAACAACAAATCAAATTCGCAAGTAAAAAGCATAAATAACACTTTGACTAGAAAGAAAGCATTAAAGCGGAATAGCAGGACACCTGCTGAAAGGCTAAATATTTACTGGAATAAGGAAGTTTTTGCCAGCCAGGAGAAAAACAGTGAAAAAGCAGCAGGCTTGGCCTCCCTTGGCAGAGATTTTCAATCTCTGAGAGTAGCAACTAAACAGGCTCTGACTTTCCTACCAAATCTCTGAGAGACCCACCCTTAAGATCTTAAAACTAAGTAGGCTTGAGTGCCACCAAACTGCTTCTAACAATATACAGGTAGTCCTCTCGACTCACCACCACAATCCATCCATCTATTATCTACCTACCTACCTATCTATAGCTGTCTGTCTGTCTGTCTCTCTATCCATCTCTCTATCTCTCTATCTCTCTATCTCTCTATCTATCTATCTATCCAATCATCCATCCATCCATCTTGATGTTTTTCAATGGACCACTGAAAAAGTTCTACTAAAGGAGTAACTTAATTTCATTTTAAGTCTAGCTGTATCATTTTGGACCTGTTGAAATTTCTAAACATTTTTTTTCAAAGGCAGCGTCACATTGTATCGTGTTCAAACACAGCAATTGTTTTGGCAGGATGTAACTACTGCTTGTGTCATCATGGCTAAATGCAACATTTTCAGGAACAAATGCAGTGGACAATTCAAGCCTTAGCTGTACAGATGTACTCCAGGCCACTGCCAAAATAAAATAGGATCAGGGCCAAATCAAAAATATGAAAAAGTTGATGTTTGTTTGCTTGTTTTTTCTTCTTTCTTTCTTCCTCTCAATTCTGTATTTTGACTTTGGAAATAAATTTTTTAAAAAATTTTAAAAAAGTATGAAAGCCTGACTACATGTAGTCCTTGACTTACAACAGTTCAGTTACTGATCGTTCAAAGTTACAACAGCACTGAAAAAAGAGATATATGACCAGTTTTCACTCCTACTATCATTGTGGTGTCCCCAGGTCACATGATCAAACTTCAGAGGCTTGGCAACTGACTCATATATATATATATATATGATGGTTGCAGTGTCCCGGGGTCATTGAACCCCTTTTGCAGCCTTCTGACAAGCAGAAATCAATGGGGAAGCCAGATTCACTTAACAACCTGTGACTAACTCAACAATGGCAGGGATTCACTTAACAACTGTGGCAAGAAAGGTTGTAAAATGGGGCAAAACTCACTTAACTATCTCGCTGAGCAACAGAAATGTTGGGCTCAACTGTGGTTCTAAATTGAGGACTACCTGTAACCCGGGGAAATATAACCCCTCCCAATTCAAGCCTGAATTGTTACTCCTTGATCTACTTTTCACCTGATCCGAATACCTCTCTCCTATCTGAATCAAGCTTCAATCTGCTTGCTCTGCTCTAGTCCGCTGCTGGAAAAAAAAGAGATTACATTTCAAAATCCAAGAATACGATATCATGCAGATTGCGGGATCCTAATCAGGGTCTTGTTTTTCTACTCAGTTACAGGTTGGTGGTGTTTTGACCCAGGCTTCTTAAACCATAATTATTCACAAACTTGTTTTAAAAGCAAAATCTATTTTATTGCAACGCTGGGAATTGTTTTCATTCCTAGCCGGAATTAAGCTCAAACTGTTCCCTGAGATAAGCACACGCCTTTCAGTTCTGTGAAGTGCTGCCAAAAACAGAAGTATCAAATTAACTAGAAAAGAAACCAACTGAAGTACAAGAAAAACCAACCAAAGTATAAAGAGCTTCCAGGATAACTTGGAACTGATCGAACTACTTTGCTTCCTGCAAAGGTTTCGTCATCTTGGCCTGACTTTTATCCCTTATGGGAAGGGCAATCACCTCCCAGCCTTACTTCCGAGTCACCCCTTTTGTTTCAGCTGCTCTTGCCTTCTAGCAGCTCTGCGCACATGTGCACTGGGAACAGGCTCCCCTGGATCCTCTGCCTCACTGCTGCCAGACTCCGAAGGCAGCACCCCACTCCAGATGTTCCTGGCCCCATCCCTGCATCGGACACAGGACCCTTGTCCGAGTCCTCTCCAGACTCCCTGTCTGGTCCCCGTTCTTCCCCACTGTCCGATTCCACTGCCGTCTTCATAGACTGCTGGAGAACCACAAAGGGTGGCTATATTTCACAATCATTTTACAGCCACACTTCCTTCTTAGCCAATCTAGGATGGGTTTTTCGGTCAATGACCAGAAGCCAGAAGAAAATGCCAAGCATCACAGCTTTAAGTGACTTTTAATTATTTTCCTTTCACTTATTAAAAAAGTCCACGTAACTTTAGAAGACAGGGATGAAGCTTACCTGGAAATGGCTCTGATGAAATCCAGAGAGACCGCGCATTTGTATCTTGGTCCATTAAACTGATCGTCGTGGCCAATCAAGGTTAACAGTTGCAGTGTTACAAGAGAAGTAATCTGAAAGGGAAGAGAAATGTGACTTGGTTTGGCTTTCATCCATGCTGGTATTAGTGCAAAGATAGCATGATTGCTTTCTACAAGTTGTCCTTGACTTACGACCACAATGGAGGCCAAATTTCTGTTGTTAAGTGAGACACTGGTTAAGTGGGTTTTGTGTCAGAGCATTTGCAGCGTGACTACTATTATGAGACAACCCAGGAGCAAAACACAGCACACAGAGACTTAAGACATTTAACAGTAGTTTATATACAAGACATATACAGAAATATACGTGGTAGGCAAATTCCTTACAAGCAATCAATCTTCTTAACTCTACACGGAGAACTCTGCAATGGATACTGGACACAAGGAGAGAGAGAACACGCCCTCTATGATGTCAGCATTATATAAACACTTCTTAAAGGGGTAAAGACTTCTGTGGACTCATTCTTCGTCTTAAAAGGGAAATACCAATGTTGATTCATCTTCAATTGCATCAGCCTTACAATGCATTAGCTTTACATTGCTGCTGCTCAGCTCTTAAATATCTATACCTTAACATTTTGCCCCATTTTACGACTTTTCTTGCCACAAGTATGAAGAGAATCACCACAGTGGATAGGCTGGCAACTTGGTTGTTAAGTGAATCTGGTTTCCCCATTGGCTTTGCTTGTCAAAAGGTCACAAAAAGGGATCGCATGACCCCAGGATACAGCAAAGGTCATAAATATGAACCAGTTGCCAAGCGTCCGAATTTTGATCACATGACCATAGGGATATTGCAAAGGTCGTAACTGTGAAAAAAGTTCATAAGTTACTTTTTTTTTTCCCAGGGCCATTATAAATTTGAACGTTCACTAAGCAAACAGCTGTAAGTCGAGGACTACTTCTATTCCATCTGCTGATTTATCAAACCACATATCTTTAGCACTAAAAATGTAAGTGATTAAAAATACAAACTAACAAATACACCCACAATAAATAAAGCATACAATGATTGCACAACTTACACTGTTTATCAACTAAACACCTGCTATAAGAGTGATACATATCATCTTTATAATTTAGAACTATTTTGAGCATTTATATGTACATGCCTAGTTATAAGATAGATGGATGGATGGATGGATGGATGGATGGATGGATAGATAGGTAGGTAGGTAGGTAGGTAGGTAGGTAGATAGACAGATAGATAGATAGATAGATAGATAGATAGATAGATAGACAGACAAGACACATATATACAGTTACAGTGTTACAGTTATTTATAGAATATACAGTTATTTCTAGAAGTAAATAAGGTTGGGCTAGTGCTTTAGAAACAGAAAATGGAAATGGATGTCATTCTGAAACGGCTTACATTGTAGATATTTTATTCTCTGCCTCCTAATTTTTGTGAACTTCTCTAAGTGAAGGAGGGAAATTGCTCTTCATTTAGATAAATTCTCATTCAGCCAATGGTGGAAGCATAATGGGCCAATCTGTTATTGCAACTGCTTTTTTAGACCCGAGTGTACCATTATTGGCTAATCATATTTTCCAGGGTACGCTTGCATCTGGCCTCTTCAGCTTGCAAACCACCAATGGAAATAGGTCATATTCCACAGCGGGAATAACATGAGGCTCATCCAAAGCTCGAGCAAATATGCCAGTTTGGATGACTTGGAGATGGACCCGTCTCAATAACATGGAGGATGCAAAAAAATTTTTTTTTAAAAAAACCAAAAACGTCCTTGCCCTTGTGTTGCAAATGCGCCAGCTCTGCCTTAACAACAACATAATGCCATCAATTTCTTACAGTCTTTCTAAAATGTGGTAAAATGGAACAGAAGGTCAGTACAGTAAAATTGCTCCCTCTATCTTTCTGGCTGTAAATTTAACATGGTGTCAGGCTGGATAATAAATTTCTGATTAATGCTTTAAGTATAACAAGCCACAGTAGATCTAAAGGTTTTGGTGCTAAATGGATGAGAATACAAGGTTGCTTATTATCTGAGTAAGCTGAATCCTTGGACAACAGATTTGAATTTCCTAATTCTTTTAACAATAAAAGCTTGAGCAATTCATCTATGAATGCTAACTGAATGGTCTTATTTCTCCTTTGGATTTCTGTTCCAGTAAAACAACCCCCTCCCTTCAAGCAAAACTGCAAACCAGATTCTTCATTCCAGATGTTTAGGTAACACCTGTAAAATCTAGTTTGTAAAAATAAACTCATTTGATTCTGCTAAATTTACTTGACTGGCATTTCAACTACAGATAGTCTTCAACGTACGACCACAATTGAGCCCAGAATTTATGAGAAATTTGTTAAAGCGAGTTTTGCTGCGTTTTATGACTTTTCTTGCCACATTTGCTAAGGGAATCACTGCAGTTCTTAAATTAGTAGCACGGTTATTAAGTGAATCTGGCTTCCCTGTTGTCTTTGCACAAAACGTGATCACATGACCCCGGGACACGGCAAACACCATAAGCGTGGGTCAGTTGCCAAGCAGCTGAATGTAAACCACACATGACCATGGGATGCTGCAATGGACATAAGTGCAATGGACATAAGTGTGAAAAACTTATATAGGGGATGATGCAATGGACATAAGTATGAAAAACTTATATAGTTTGTATGGTAAGTTGGATCAGAGAATTTTTTCCCTAAACATGCCTATAGGATACTGGGAGTGGAGAAGATAATAATGAGACATAGATAGATAGATAGATAGATAGATAGATAGATAGATAGATAGATA